ACTAGGCAGGCCTCCAAGGGGGCATCATGTCCCTGGTGAAACACACTAAAGGCAGGTCTGCTCGAAAAGTGGGCATATACATCCACTCAAAGGACATGCCGGTCTGGTGTCAAGGACCATGCAGATATCGCCGCTCATAAATGAATACAATTCTTGTTGATAATGTGAAAGTATAAATTCTCTATTGGCAATACAATAGGGAAGGGTGACTTTACAAATTTTCACGGTTTCACTTAGTCATAGACAATTTGGGGTTTGGTAAATAAGACCCACATATTTTGGCTTAAAATTTGCAAGTCAGTTGCCAAACTGACTACCAATAACTGTTTTACTGATAAACCTCACAGAAGTAGCAGAGGATAACACAGATGAGGAAATTATTAATGTCTCAGATGGACATAAGGCTTTTCTGAATAATAAATAACTGTGAAGGTTTATCATGACAGTAGACAAGTTGGGCAAACTCTTTTCTATCTGTCATCGCAATATATCTTATATCAACAATTAATGTGTAACATGCATGAAAATAAGTCATGTTTTTGTAAATTCACAAGATCTAAATATAAAATTAGATAAATAGAAACCAAGACATGAAAACTTTGAACTCTAATTTTGTGATGGATACTGCGGCATGACAAGTCTGACGTCAAATGGCAAGACGTGAACATTTCTTGCATAAAAATGTGCAAGTGCATTTCCGACCATCAATAGCTAAAATGTTCACCAAATTGAACAATGGTATAAATGTGATCTGTCACATCTGTCACATAAATGTGATCTGTCACCTTAAAACAGTTGTTAATCCCCTAAAGGCCATTGATATGAAGGAAATAAAGTACTTAAGAGCATAATTCTCCTACGGTACCTTCTAACTGACTTTCAATAAGCATCTTTAAACTTTTCAACTGAAACAAGAGGCCATCTAGTCTTTCATCTCGTATTGAGTTGCCCAAATTCCACTTTCCTTCTTCTTTGTGGTTAACATAAGCATAGGTAACTTGTCCATAGACCTGGGTTCGAATATCGATTTTAAAAGCACACCGTTAGCTACGGCAGCTCATAATGCAACTTATCTGATCTTTTAGTTTTAGGCATGAGTGCATTCATTTTAAATTCTCTGTAGATTGGAACAGGATTTGGGTAAAATGATCAGATTTCTTACATCATTCCCGCAGCTAACAAGGATCATTGTTTTTGGACTAAGACTCAAATGACTATAATCAGAGAAATAGTGTTTTTATAGAATTGTTATTTTAGGTTAATACAATGTATCATAGATTAAAAAAAAAGAATAAGAATTAAGAAATTTTCTATTTTCCTATTTTCCACCTGAAAACAATCTTTTTTCTCAATTTTTGCCAAGTATTTGTTTAGACATGGAAAACGATCCAAGTATTTTGAATAAGAACATCTAAATTGCCGTGTCCTCTTTGTGAACTTGGTATAACTGATTAGGCTTTCAGTAGTAATAATTTTTAAGGTTTGTAGGAGAATGTGAATCATTTAAGTTTGGCTTGTCTTCCTCTAGAGATGTGCTTTGAACTGAAGAAGCTAGACGATTCACTATCTTATCTCCACCTCTCTAACACTGTGCATAGTCTCTCGAGGGACCTGTACTTACAGCCTATTGCATGGTAAGCTGCACCAAATGTTGCTGAAATGTTTGATCAAAGTACACACGTTCCTCAGTGATAGCAAACATGTTTCAGAGAGGCTGCATTATCTACCAGCGGAGCATTGTTTGGCTGTACTGCTATCCTAAAAGACCTACAAATGTTTTCATCCACTCTTGGCAATTATGTACAGAAACATAATTACAGATATTCTTTGAGTTTATTTATTTATTGGGAGGGGGATTGTAGTATGTCGTGGAGGATTTGAGATTTAAGCTTCGGGATAAAGAATACTATGGATTGTTTCTTGGGATTATGTAGCCACTACACTCATGGAAACCACAAGGACGTATGACAACAGATCGGGGGTCTAGAGTTGAACGTTCAGCAGATTCCACTTTTGGCCTCTTTCCTCGGTTAAGTGGTCTTGACAAAAGAGAAAAGTATTTTTCAGCTTCTTGGAACAATTAACTTGTTGCTAAAAGCCTGTGCAGCAGGAGAGAGGTCAGTCATGGTAAGTAAGTGGTAGAATTGTATTAAGGCAACTTATAGGTGATATTTACTGCATTTAAGAAAAATGCTTAAAAGCTTCTTCAAGAGCATGCAAAGAATATGTTTATTCATCAGCATGTGTAGCAAATCTCACTTTAAGGAAATACAAACCTGCTTTTTTATTCAGCGTAAGCATTGATAGAATGTGATTATGTATTCCTCTTCTGTAATTATTATCATAGATGCATGTTTGAAGGATTAATGTTCTGTAGAGAAGTCTCAATGTAAAACTGCAGTTGTTAACGTGAGAGAGAGAGAGGGACATGTAATTGTTAAACAGTCTGCATGGAGTGAGGGTCTCAATTAACCCTGATAGTTGGGTGTCTTACTATAGGTTTCCTTGTTGGCTTATTTTATATTGCTCATCGAGCATCCTAAAATGTAGGGGTCGCATGAAAACCTCCATAAAGATAGTACAAACAGTGGGTCTTTGAGTCTTATCGTAGTCACCCCCCAAATAATAGTAATGTGGGTTTCATAGCCTCTAGAGAACTAACTCTGAGCAAATGGGGTTGTTTTAATCTTTCCGCTTAAGTAACACTAGAGGAGTGGGCCTGATTCTAAAACCTACCCACTAGTTACAGTAAAAGAGTGGAGGTATTTTTGTATTCTTTCTGAATAAAACAATAAGGGTTTCATGTCCCACTAAAAGATTCTCAAAGGAAATTCTTTGGTGCAAGGTCTATAGCTTCTCCACAGCCAAAACCACTGGAAGATTAACTTCTCACAGTTGTCGTGGCACCGATAAAAATGACTGTGTGCCCTGCAACATGGACACTGGGGTCCTCTCTACAAAATCACTATAGGTGACACTGAGAGGCAGGTTTTTAAAGCAAAATGTCACTTTTATCCTTCTAAATGCTTTCGAATAACTTACTGGGTGTCAATAGTGCTGTGTTCATTGAGAAAATCTAAAGATATTGTGCACCCCCAAATTGCAATTAGTTGAACTGTCTTAGACTTGTTTGGCATCTGTCATAGGGTCCTACTTAGACACTTCTGTTAGCTTTCTGGAACTATGCAATCACTGGCTGAGAGTGTAGACTTATCACTCTCTGCCAGGCTCACCGGCAGGGTTAGCTCAGACAGAGAGCTTCTGGATGCAGCACACAGCAAACCCAAGGTAAGAAGTTAAGCTGCTCTCAAATGTTTTGACTATGCAGATGGGGGAAGGATGGGGGAGAAGTTGCACTCATGGCACCAAAACCACTGCAGCATGCTGGTGCTTGGAGAGTTAATTTAAGACATAAAATGTATGTAGTGAGAGTTAAAAAAAAATGGTGTTCAGAGAGGGGTCCACAGCAATAGCCACACTTTTACAAGCAACACTGCGGGAGGTGTCTTGGTGTAAAAAACATAACATCACTTCTCCTTGATGTTCCCATGCAAATCTTGTCTCTCAGGCACATTTTAGGTTAAAACAGGCAGGCTGGGAAAACAGCTCAGTTGGATATTTTTTCCAGCTCATTTATTTAGCCTTCATGTTTTACTTCCTCGCCAGCTTTGCACAATTCAGCGAATAAACCCCTATTTTACCCAGACACCCAGAGATGAGTGCATGATGATAAATCTGTTAACATGTTGTGAATCTAAAAACACATTAAAAAAAACTACTGCTCATACTGTTTTTTATCCTCCCGGCTCCCTCCCCTATTTAACAATATCAGTACAGGAAGACAATCGTAACAACCACAATATTAAAAACATTCTCAGTGTGGTAAGGGGTTAAACGGAGAAACATCTCGCTGATTCGCTCCACTTTCACACAGAGCACATGACCGTGTCTCTCAGAGAGAGCTGTACACGAGGATATCCATGTGTGATTAGCTATTGTCATTCGATCTTTTGTAGGCCTTCCCACTAAGCAGGTATCTTAGAAACGCAGGCTGAGAACGATGGAGGTAGGCCCAGCTGAAGCTGCACTGTGTGCTGAATCAGGTGCATTTTTCACAGGACGAGGAACAGCAAAGAGATGGATAAGAAACTAGGTCAACTGAGCTTTCATCTCTCTTTATTAGCCTCTCAAGGAACTGCAGGAAGATACGCCATTCATGAGGCTCCTTAACACCCAGAGTGCCAGAGAGTAGAGTCATTGCTGATCAGCCCTCAAAGAGTTAATTACAGTCTATCCCCCCCCTCCTCCGTCCTGAGAATTAAGCCTATTTTACATACAGTTTTATTTAAAGGTCCGACCAGGCAACCTTAAAATTCATTTTTGATTGTTTTTTTCATTCCCTCTGGGCTTTTGTCGTCAATTACTGTTTCATCAGATGTTGCTCAATCTTATGCAAGGAAGTGAAATTGCGAGTGATTTTCATCACTGTAATATAATTAACCCCTTGTGAGTTCCTGGAAGAGGAGAAGACGGTGATGGATTTTTTAGATGTTAAGGATTTTCTGAGATTGTGCGGTTACCGTGTTTCATATCCCCATGGTCTGCGCTGTGTCCGCTGTAGCTGGTTTATACCCCAAGAGTTAATGTTGGAGACATCTCATGGCTATATTTCCTTTCCCTAGTATTTAAGGTGATCAATCAGAAGTGAAGTTTTCATTTAAAGACTGGCATCAATCATTTGCCTTCGATCAATCAAATAGCATTATCATCGTTGGATTTTATTCTCGAAGGGCCCTCCATAGCTGATTTACCACCCATTACTTTTTAATGTATTAAGGAAATAATATGGATAGTTCGAGAGGTCAATGTTATTTTAAACAGAACTGCATTATTGATAAGGGTCATAGATTATATAGGGACAGTATACGTGGGGACACAATAAGCATATTCTACCAAGTTATATTTTGTTTCCCAAATATTGATCTCTGGGTTGATGTGAAGCCAAATACAAATAAAGGGGTTTATGCACTAAAAACCAAATGGTTATGAATTAAAAACTAATTAAGGTTTAGGCAACAATAGCCAACTCATCTATTGACAATCTATGATTTATTAAGCCTAATGTTTGCAGTTTGGTTTTAATTTCACTACCTTTCACTGCTTAGTGAATACACCCCAAAAGTGTTTAGTGGTATTTCATCTTAAAGGAACACTATAGTGTCAGCAATACAAATATGTATTCCTGACACTATAGTGGCAAACTAACTATTTAGGTGCGAGGACCCCCATCCCATCGCAGTCTCTCCCCGCTTTCAGAATCATCAGTCTTGATTTATAGAAAAATATTGGGAGGATATTGTGCATGTGTGTTAAAATGACAGACTGCGCCAATCAGCCTGCAGGGACATGTTATAGACACTGGAACATTAGGCTGTAGTGGTTCTGGTAACTTTAGTGTCCCTTTGAAATGCACTAGTTAAATTCTGAATAATGTACTGTGCAAAATTAGCACGAGGATATCATAAATAGGTAAGTAAATATCAGCTGCTGAAAGTCCTGACATAACATAAAATAACCATTTCAGAACACCTAGGCGTTCTTACCACATTGCTTTTGTGAATATGACATTTGATGAAGTGGCTATAAGATGTTGTGTGTTGTTTTATTTTTTATGATAGTGTTTAAAGTAAAGTACAGAAGTCATTTTGGATATTAGAGCCATGTTCATATTGTGTTTTTTTTTTTTTTTTGTATATTTAGTTCACATATAACAAAAACATAATGCTGTAATTTACGAGAAAAGAAAGTCACGTGTCCTAGAAACATAGAAACATAGAATGTGACGGCAGATAAGAACCATTCGGCCCATCTAGTCTGCCCAATTTTCTAAATACTTTCATTAGTCCCTGGCCTTATCTTATAGTTAGGATAGCCTTATGCCTATCCCACGCATGCTTAAACTCCTTTACTGTGTTAACCTCTACCACTTCAGCTGGAAGGCTATTCCATGCATCCACTACCCTCTCAGTAAAGTAATACTTCCTGATATTATTTTTAAACCTTTGTCCCTCTAATTTAAGACTATGTCCTCTTGTTGTGGTAGTTTTTCTTCTTTTAAATATAGTCTCCTCCTTTACTGTGTTGATTCCCTTTATATATTTAAATGTTTCTATCATATCCCCCCTGTCTCGTCTTTCCTCCAAGCTATACATGTTAAGATCCTTTAACCTTTCCTGGTAAGTTTTATCCCGCAATCCATGAACCAGTTTAGAAGCCCTTCTCTGAACCCTCTCTAAGGTATCAATATCCTTCTGAAGATACGGTCTCCAGTACTGTGTACAATACTCCAAGTGAGGTCTCACCAGTGTTCTGTACAATGGCATGAGCACTTCCTTCTTTCTACTGCTAATACCTCTCCCTATACAACCAAGCATTCTGCTAGCATTTCCTGCTGCTCTATTACATTGTTTGCCTACCTTTAAGTCATCAGAAATAATCACCCCTAAATCACAAAATATATCCTAAAAAATATATCTTAACAATCGGAGATGTAGAAGTGGGATATGCAGATAGGTGGGACAGTAGGGGCCTTCAGCAATGGGTAGGCACGTTTGTGAAAGTGGCGTGTAAAATGGACGGGCCCGTCTGATAATGGGGATATGTCAGTCTGCTGTAATGTAGGCTGCCAGACTGGAGCTCTATCTCTGAAATGCTCTGCCAAGGGCTGGATTTGACACAGGGCCACTGAGGCCATGGCTTCGGAGAGGCAGGTAGGAGGGGGACTACATACCCCATAACCCCACTACCCCCCACTAAAGCAGTAACCACTAGACATGCAACCCCAAACCCCACCAGCAACATTCCCACAAATATGCAACATCACAGTAAGCCTCCAAATACATCATGCACCTCCTCTCCTAGCTCTGTCCAACTTATCATCCAACCACCAACCTAATCACATTCACCTATCGATCATAGCCCAAACTAGACGTATAATTGCATGCAATCGATTACTGTCAGTCCTGCACTCTAACCATATTATTTAGCTAATCTTGCCAGGTGTTCAGCAACACTCCCAATAAAATATCCAAAATAAGCCAGCACCCTGGGTCTCTCGAAAAATGACTCTGCTTTATTGAATACAATTCTCATTCTGGCCAACATATCAGTTCATTGCTGAACTTTCATCAGGACATCTATATCTATATTGGGGAGCGCATTGAGCATTCTGGCCTAGGAGCAGCACATAGGGTACATGTGGTCCTGGCTCTATCCATGGTCTTAGTATCCTGAGGTTACTCAGCCCAGTGTGAGATTGTCTAAGAATGTTTTTACACTGCACTGATTTGGGACATTTCCTGGTGAAGCAGCCCATGATGGCAGTCAAAAATTCTAAAACTTCTGTTGGTTCCACTGAACCCAGGAAAACTGGGCTGTATTTGAGAGTACGTCCTAGTTTTATATCATAGAGTTAGCAAACTCCCAAACAAATAATTCCATTTTCAATTGCATCATGTGCATGCCTACTGAATTACACGAGATACAACGCAGAAAGGCCCAACCAGGAAATAAATCAGAAACATTTAAGTCTGGAAATAGTCTTTCTCAGAGGTTAGAACCTTGACAAAGTTTTTTATTTCTGTAGGCCAAATGTTAAGCATATTTTTTCACCATCATATCTTCTTGTTCATATGCTTGTGATGCGCAGTAGTTACTATCTAATGTTATATTATTGCATTGATGTAAAATGAAGATGTTAATGCAAGCCAAAAATGTAATCATTAGCACATGTTACTAAATAAATTATTTTAGTTTCACAATAAGCATGCAGTGCTAAAACAAAAGGAAATTATTTGAAATATGAATATATATATATATTTATTGTGAATAAATAGGAAAAACCCTACTTCTATGTTTTTGGAAACAGGAGAAATAAAACAGTAAGATAGCTGAAATGAAAGCAAAGAATGAGGAATGGAATAGAAGGTTAGTATTTAATTTCTTCCTCCAAGTTCTGATGTCTTGGTGTTAGGGGCCGGCGTTCCAGAGCAACGCAGCTTGCACTGATCGAGAGCGATCTTCTGTTTTTGCCGTCTTGACCCAGACACGTGAAAGATGCACGTTTCTTAGTTGGGAACCAACGTAATTGCTTGAGTTCGCTCAAGATGTGGTCAAACATCTGTTTCCCTGTGATTAAGCATGCAGCAGCATATTGCATGGCCTGCAGGACTGGAAAGGGTTGCCAAACTTATATACAAAACATTGTGATCTAGATGTAACTATACCAGTGATCTTGTGACGGTTTTGATGTCCTTGAAGTCCTTATGCTGTCTGGTTTACCATAATTTTTCTCTTTGCAGATTTAGGAGTTGTCTCTATTTGTGGTTAAAATGTTGCAACAGTTTCAGAATCTTTGCTGTGATTCATTTATTAAAGCTCTCAAGCAATGCTGTGATAGTGACTACATGTTTTTGGGATCCTTGGATCCTACAATGTACATCTGAGTGTCATTAATGTGCAGGTGGAAGTGTAGGTCTCTGCGAAGGTCTGCAAGGTGTGTGATGCATTAAAAGGTAGAGGTGATAGTGATGATCCCTAAGGGACACCATGTGTCCTCATAAAATATGAATAAAAATACTTAAATTCAAACATATTTACAAAATATTGGCATTTAGGAAGGTAAATCTTTCCCTTACTTAAGTACTGAGATTGTCCAACTGTACATTATTTATTTCGCCCTCATACCAGATTGGTGTGTAGTATAACAATTGAATGAATCGACATGCCATATGATATCAACCTTAGATGGTAACGTTGGTGGGCACATGCCCCCGCCACTTGTGTGCTCCTAAACTTAAATGTAGATTCAGTTTATTCTGTTTTATTTTTAAATAATCCCATGATCTAAAGATGCAATCTCTTTTATGAGAGACACTTAGTTTCATACAATATCTATCTCGACAATCTTAAAAAAAAAACTCCTTTACTGATTTCAAGTGAAATCCAGTATTTCGTCAGCAAGAAAATATGTTCACCGATCAGCCTTGGATTAGTAAAACAAAACAAACATTAATGTTTGAGTTAAGGAATTTATGAAAACTTGCAGGAATTAGCCTAGATGTTCTATGTTTGACCTGCTGCTGCTCTGAACAGATAAACGTTTCTCGTTCAGGCTGAAGAAAAGAGTTTAATTCACCCCTTCCTGGCCTTGCCCACTGCTGATACTGGACTACAAATTAGAGCTTGATCGCCCAGTTTGCGACTAATTGCATGCCATTTTCTGGTTTAGCTTGCTCTACATCACCCTTTCCTTCCATAAAATCACTGCAACGAATGTAACAAAAAATTGCAGTTACTTGCAGATTGTCTAAATTCATTGTGATCTGCAATTGAGAGCTAGATGTAATATCGTATTCTCTTTAAATATATATATATATTGTATTTATTTAAGGATTGCACATTGTGAGTCTCAAAACATCAGTAGTTTTGGAGAGATCAATATACAATGCTCTCTTTTTTAAATCATAAAGTGAACAAAGTAAGAAAAATGAGCAGAAAAGAAGGTGTGCAGTCTAAGGAAAGAATGGGAGTCAGGCAAGAAAATTGAATTCTCTAAGCTAGAGTAATGAGCAAAACCCAACTACACAGTGAAGGAACATTAGTGTTAGGAATACAGAAGTATATGCCAAATACTATAGTGCCTTTCTAACTAGTTGGGTGACTACTAGAGGTATTTAAACCTTGCAATGTAAACATTGCCAGGACAACAATGTTTTCACTTGCACGGTTAAAACAACAGGGACTTGGCACCAAGCTCTCTTAACTGAGATGAAGTGGTATGGGTGCCTATTGGGTCCCTTTAATATTTATTCTGGATCTGAGTATGGGCACAGATCGAAGTTTGAGAAAATAAGCCAAAACTAAAAACGTAGAATGTAAAAGTGTTCGACAAATTATCATCAAATCCAGCCAATTGTTAGAACTGTAACTATCTCTGCATTGCTGTTATTAATATTATCTAATAAAAAAATAAATTAAAACAAATTCTCGTGAATGTACAACAATCTTTGGGTAACACAATCATTTTGTCAGCTCGAAGGAATTTAAATACTGATCGAGGTGTCGATTGATGTTCTTCTTGTTCCTCGGCTGATAGATTGGTCGTCTGTCGATCCAGCTTGCTCAGTTCCCGTATTACAGCACTATTTGTTAGTATAGATTCTAGCAATCTAACAACTTGGGCCATTAGGCATCATCAGAATACTCGGAAAATGGAACGATATGCAACTTAGATAGCAAAATGTTTGCAAAGCAGACAATTGAGAAGATCTAAGCTTTGCTGCATCTCACATTCTTATATACACATACTCCATGACACAAACCTACAATATAGAAAGGATAAAATTAAACATATATCCAGTATGAATAATGTAGTGTGCTAGTAAACAAGATGATGCTTTGGAAAATGTCCTGTTGTGAAAATACTGGAATTATTTAAACATCACAAATATGTCACTTTAAAAAAAGAGACTGCTTAGTAAAGAAGACCGACAAGGATAGCGCGCCCCTTACTGTGACGTGTTTGCGTGAGACAGTGGACTTCTAGTAAGCTGAAAAATGTTTGCAAATTAATGCAGTCCTAGGCAGAAGGGAGATTGGGATAGGGGACCTTCTTGCACCTTAAACTCTGCATGAAGAATACATTGTTACAATGTTTGGAATTAAAGTAAATTACATCTATCAAAGTTTAACAATACACTATTATTGTTTAAACATTTCTACAATGTGCCCAGAATAATACTGCCATTCTTTAAGATGTTGTAGAGAGAGAGAGAGAGGGAGATATGATAAATTAAAACTGTACTGTATGAATAACACATTCTGTCTGTCTGCCTGAGAGTGATGGGAGTCACATTTCTGGGCATCTTTCATAATTCACATATGCCACCATGAAAGAGGCAGCATAAGCACTATACCCGCTATGGCTCATTTTAGTACTGCTCTAAGTTTTTGGGTACCATCCCTCCTTTTTTTGTTAAGCTGTTTGTGAGGGGTTTGAAAAATCCAAGCTCTACGTAAATCAAAAGCCCAGCTCACCTGCATCTCCTTAAATAATGCAGAATTTTGCACTGCTGAATATCATAAAATATTTTGTAAGTCAAAAGTACTAGAATTTAAAAAAAAAAAAAACTTTTTGGATCCACATCAAATTAGTGTTTTAAGTTGAATGTAAAAAAGTATTGAAATAAGAAAAAAACTTGCAAAAACTCTGTTTAATTAACAATAGACTGTGACCAGATGGCAAGTCACCGGTCAATTAGAAAATTCACACTAGTTTGCAAATCCAGCAAAACATAAGCTATTTCAATAATTATATACCGATAGGGTGCTAGAATGTCCAAGAATTCTGAATCTGGGAATATAGGAAAAATAGACTCACCAGGCATTCGCAAGCTGCAATATAAACACTGAGCTGTAGAGCAGGGCTTCCAGCCTCAGTAGGAGAACAAAGTTAGTGACATCACCATGCTTTCCAAGTGTCCCTATCTTTTGCCCGAATATCCTTCCATTCTAGGAGCTCCATATTGTTGGTGTGTCTGAATGTATAACAGAGCTCCACAGCAATAATACTCCCAGTAATGTGTCTGAGTGTGTAACAGAGCTCCACGGCAATAATACTCCCAGTAATATGTCTGAGTGTGTAACAGAGCTCCACGGCAATAATACTCCCAGTAATATGTCTGAGTGTGTAACAGAGCTCCACAGCAATAATACTCCCAGGAATGTGTCTGAGTGTATCACAGATCTCCACAGCAATAATACTCCCAGTAATGTGTCTGAGTGTGTAACAGAGCTCCATGGCAATAATACTCCCAGTAATGTGTCTGAGTGTGTAACAGAGCTCCACGGCAATAATACTCCCAGTAATATGTCTGAGTGTGTAACAGAGCTCCACAGCAATAATACTCCCAGTAATGTGTCTGAGTGTGTAACAGAGCTCCACACCAATAATACTCCCAGTAATATGTCTGAGTGTGTAACAAAGCTCCACGGCAATAATACTCCCAGTAAAGTGTCTGAGTGTATAACAGAGCTCCACAGCAATAATACTCCCAGAAATGTGTCTGAGTGTATCACAGAGCTCCACAGCAATAATACTCCCATTAATGTGTCTGAGTGTATAACAGAGCTCCACAGCAATAATACTCCCAGTAATGTGTCTGAGTGTATAACAGATAACAGATGTCTCCACAGCAATAATACTCCCAGTAATGTGTCTGAGTGTGTAACAGAGCTCCACAGCAATAATACTCCCAGTAATATGTCTGAGTGTGTAACAGAGCTCCACAGCAATAATACTCCCAGTAATGTGTCTGAGTGTGTAACAGAGCTCCACACCAATAATACTCCCAGTAATATGTCTGAGTGTGTAACAGCTCCACGGCAATAATACTCCCAGTAATATGTCTGAGTGTATAACAGAGCTCCACAGCAATAATACTCCCAGTAATGTGTCTGAGTGTATAACAGAGCTCCACAGCAATAATACTCCCAGTAATGTGTCTGAGTGTATAACAGAGCTCCACAGCAATAATACTCCCAGAAATGTGTCTGAGTGTGTAACAGAGCTCCACGGCAATAATACTCCCAGTAATATGTCTGAGTGTATAACAGAGCTCCACAGCAATAATACTCCCAGTAATGTGTCTGAGTGTGTAACAGAGCTCCACACCAATAATACTCCCAGTAATATGTCTGAGTGTGTAGCAGAGCTCCACGGCAATAATACTCCCAGTAATGTGTCTGAGTGTGTAACAGAGCTTCACAGCAATAATACTCCCAGAAATGTGTCTGAGTGTGTAACAGAGCTCCACGGCAATAATACTCCCAGTAATATGTCTGAGTGTGTAACAGAGCTCCACACCAATAATACTCCCAATAATGTGTCTGAGTGTGTAACAGAGCTCCACACCAATAATACTCCCAGTAATGTGTCTGAGTGTGTAACAGAGCTCCACAGCAATAATACTCCCAATAATGTGTCTGAGTGTATAACAGAGCTCCACAGCAATAATACTCCCAGTAATGTGTCTGAGTGTATAACAGAGCTCCACAGCAATAATACTCCCAGTAATGTGTCTGAGTGTATAACAGAGCTCCACAGCAATAATACTCCCAGTAATGTGTCTGAGTGTATAACAGAGCTCCACAGCAATAATACTCCCAGTAATGTGTCTGAGTGTATAACAGAGCTCCACAGCAATAATACTCCCAGTAATGTCTGAGTGTATAACAGAGCTCCACAGCAATAATACTCCCAGTAATGTGTCTGAGTGTATAACAGAGCTCCACAGCAATAATACTCCCAGTAATGTGTCTGAGTGTATAACAGAGCTCCACAGCAACAATACTCCCAGTAATGTGTCTGAGTGTATAACAGAGCTCCACAGTAATAATACTCCCAGAAATGTGTCTGAGTGTATAACAGAGCTCCACAGCAACAATACTCCCAGTAATGTGTCTGAGTGTATAACAGAGCTCCACAGCAATAATACTCCCAGTAATGTGTCTGAGTGTATAACAGAGCTCCACAGCAATAATACTCCCAGTAATGTGTCTGAGTGTATAACAGAGCTCCACAGCAATAATACTCCCAGTAATGTGTCTGAGTGTATAACAGAGCTCCACAGCAATAATACTCCCAGTAATGTGTCTGAGTGTATAACAGAGCTCCACATCAATAATACTCCCAGTAATGTGAGTGTATAACAGAGCTCCACAGCAATAATACTCCCAGTAATGTGAGTGTATAACAGAGCTCCACAGCAATAATACTCCCAGTAATGTGTCTGAGGGTATAGCAGAGCTCCACAGCAATAATACTCCCAGTAATGTGACTGAGTGTATAACAGAGCTCCACAGCAATAATACTCCCAGTGATGTGAGTGTATAACAGAGCTCCACAGTAATAATACTCCCAGTAATGTGTCTGAGTGTATAACAGAGCTCCACAGCAATAATACTCCCAGTAATGTGTCTGAGTATATAACAGAGCTCCACAGCAATAATACTCCCAGTAATGTGTCTGAGTGTATAACAGAGCTCCACAGTAATAATATTCCCAGTAATGTGTCTGAGTGTATAACAGAGCTCTACAACAATAATACTCCTAGTAATGTGTCTGGGTGTATAACAGAGCTCCACAGCAATAATACTCCCAGTAATGTGTCTGAGTGTATAACAGAGCTCCACAACAATAATACTCCCAGTAATGTGTCTGGGTGTATAACAGAGCTCCACAGCAATAATACTCCCAGTAATGTGTCTGAGTGTGTAACAGAGCTCCACAGCAATAATATTCTCAGTAATGTTTCTTTAAACTACAATAAATGTAAGTGTAGATAAGATACATTGTTCTTGTTCTGAATTACATTTTAGCTGCAAAAGTTATTAGTAAGTCACCCAAAGTTTATCAGAGCAGCCCTGCTCTTTGTTAAGACCCCACTAACACCCCTAAAATTATAGTGTCCCTCTTTTTTTTTTTTTGCAGTTTAAATTGTTAGGAGGTATGTGACAAAGTGCACCTACATATTTTATCACAGGGTCATATTTAGAGGAGAATGTCTGTCTGTCTTCAAATAAAGTGAAGTTTATCATTCTGATATATGTCATATGCAGCTGCCACCATCTTGGTTAGATAGTTTACCTATAAACTTCACAGACCCATCATTTGAAGAGGAAGTGTGAATTATGACCCATTTTGAAGAAGAAATTGCTTTTAAAGTAAACAAACAAAATGCTTCAGATTACGGTTTCTTTCTCAGTGCACAGTTAAGTGCAGTGGCGTACATACCAGGGTCGCAGGTATGACGTCATCTTCCGGCTCCGGCATCCCTACGCGGCGCGCGAGGGAGCTGAAGAGGAAGCACTGAGTGCTCCCTCGCGCGCCCGCCTGCCCGACCGGCCACCCGCCTGCCTGGGGTCAGCAACACCACTGGACCCCAGGGAATCCCCCCAGAACTCCAAAAGGTAAGGAGGCTGGGGGGATTACATTTGAAAAAAAAAATGTGTTAGTGTGTGTGTGTTAGTGTGTGTGTGTGTGTTAGAGTGTGTGTGTGGGTTAGTGTGTCAGTGTTTGTTTGTGTTAGTGTGTGTGTCAGTGAATGTGTCTGTTATTGGGTGTGTGTCTGCTAGTGAGTGTATTACTGTGTATGTCTGTTACTGAGTGTGTTTGATGTCTGTTAGTGAGTGTGTGTTTGTCAGTGAAAGTGTATGTATGTCTGTCGCTGAGTGTGTCTCTGTCAGTAAATGTGTGTGTCTGTTAGCTAGTGTGTATGTGTCTGTTCGTGAGAGTGTGTGTGTGTGTCTTCAGCATTTACCTTTCTCCAGCGTCGGACTCCCCAGTGTCTGCCACTCAGCTCCGAAATGCACATGCGCGGCAAGAGGCGCGCGCGCGCATTTAAACCGCCCATAGGAAAGCATTACTCAATGCTTTCCTATGGACGTTCAGTGTCTTCTCACTGTGATTTTCACAGTGAGAATCGCGGAAGCTCCTCTAGCAGCTGTCAATGAGACAGCCACCAGAGGCTGGATTAACCCTCAGTGAAACATAGCCGTTTCTCTGAAACGGCTATGTTTTCAGCTGCAGGGTTAAAACTAGAGGGACCTGGCACCCAGACCACTTCATTAAGCTGATGTGATCTGGGTGTCTGTAGTGGTCCTTTGTGTGTGCATACCGCGGTCGCTGGTCGCAGCCCTGCAACCCCTGCGACCAGGTGCCCGCCACCAGGTGTTGCGATCCCGACCCGCGCTGAGTAAGCGCGGGGGGGGGGGGGGCGGGGGCCCACGGATCAATTTTTGCACCGGGGCCCCATGGGTCATGTGTACGCCACTGGTTAAGTGTTAATGTTTACCCCCAGTTAAGGTTAATGTAATGTCATATCTGGGAGAAAACAAATCCTGTAGTAAGAACTCCAGTGGCAAAAATGTGAATAATTGGTTTAAAAAATGTGAAATATACTCTACATATACATATACTCAAAGACTGGATTGGGAACCACTGGGATAATCAGTCTGTTTACGTACAGTGCACTGGCGGAACTACCGTGGTCGCAGGGGTCGCAGCTGCAACTGGGCCCGCCACTCCAGGGGGCCCGCACGGTAGTACAGCTCGTACCGCACGTTAAGGGGCCCATGCTGTTAGGGCCACCCGATGGCAATGAATATTCAGAGGGCGACCGGGCCCAGGCAATGACATCACAGCTGTGTATGTGAGTGCGATGGTTAATCAGTGTGTGTATGTGCAGTGCGATGATTAATCAGTATGTGTAAGTGAGTGTGATGGTTAATCAGTGTGTGTATGTGAGTGAGATGGTTAATCAGTCTGTGTATGTGCAGTGCGATGGTTAATCAGTCTGTGTATGTGAGTGCGATGGTTAATCAGTCTGTGTATGTGAGTGCGATGGTTAATCAGTCTGTGTAAGTGAGTGTGATGGTTAATCAGTGTGTGTGAGTGTGATGATTAATCAGTATGTGTAAGTGAGTGAGATGGTTAATCAGTCTGTGTATGTGAGTGCGTTGGTTAATCAGTGTGTGTATGTGAGTGAGATGGTTAATCAGTCTGTGTATGTGCAGTGCGATGGTTAATCAGTCTGTGTATGTGAGTGCGATGGTTAATCAGTATGTGTAAGTGAGTGAGATGGTTAATCAGTCTGTGTATGTGAGTGCGATGGTTAATCAGTATGTGTGAGTGAGATGGTTAATCAGTCTGTGTATGTGAGTGAGATGGTTAATCAGTATGTGTATGTGAGTGCGATGGTTAATCAGTATGTGTAAGTGAGTGAGATGGTTAATCAGTCTGTGTATGTGAGTGCGATGGTTAATCAGTCTGTGTAAGTGAGTGTGATGGTTAATCAGTGTGTGTGAGTGTGATGATTAATCAGTATGTGTAAGTGAGTGAGATGGTTAATCAGTCTGTGTATGTGAGTGCGTTGGTTAATCAGTGTGTGTATGTGAGTGAGATGGTTAATCAGTCTGTGTATGTGCAGTGCGATGGTTAATCAGTCTGTGTATGTGAGTGCGATGGTTAATCAGTATGTGTAAGTGAGTGAGATGGTTAATCAGTCTGTGTATGTGAGTGCGATGGTTAATCAGTATGTGTGAGTGAGATGGCTAATCAGTCTGTGTATGTGAGTGAGATGGTTAATCAGTATGTGTATGTGAGTGCGATGGTTAATCAGTATGTGTAAGTGAGTGAGATGGTTAATCAGTCTGTGTATGTGAGTGCAATGGTTAATCAGTCTGTGGATGTGAGTGCGGTGGTTAATCAGTGGTTAATCAGTATGTGTATGTGAGTGCGATGGTTAATTAGTCTGTGTATCTGAGTACGATGGTTACGATGGTTAATCAGTATGTGTATGTTAGTGGGTGCGATGGTTAATCAGTCTGTGTATGTGAGTGAGATGGTTAATCAGTATGTGTATGTGAGTGCGATGATTAATCAGTATGTGTAAGTGAGTGAGATGGTTAATCAGTCTGTGTATGTGAGTGCGATGGTTAATCAGTCTGTGTATGTGAGTGAGATGGTTAATCAGTATGTGTATGTGAGTGAGTGCGGTGGTTAATCAGTCTGTGTATGTGCAGTGCGATGGTTAATCAGTCTGTGTATGTTAGTGCGATGGTTAATCAGTGTGTGTATGTGCAGTGCGATGGTTAATCAGTCTGTGTATGTGAGTGAGATGGTTAATCAGTCTGTGTATGTGCAGTGCGATGGTTAATCAGTCTGTGTATGTGCAGTGTATTCATTAATCAGTGTTGATTGATCAATCTGCGTGTGTACAGAGTATTGATTGATCAGTATGATTTAGTATAGTGTGTCAAAGTATGTAGTGTGTTAGTTAATCAAACTTTGCATTTGCAATTTGTTTTGTTGAATTAGTCAAAGCCAGCCCATCATGACAGAGCCTATGACAGAGCGTTTGTAGAAATTGGAGGGAGCATATGTAACTGCTTGACATGGACCCAAAAATACAATAAATGATGGCAGATATAATGTATCCGTATTTGTTAATTTATTAATCTTTTTAATTAACCATATGAGGGTTGAATAGATTGAAATAGAAGTGAAAAATTGTATTTGCCTTTATTTTATGTTTATTTTTTTCTACCTTCCTGTTTAATCATGTTCTATTTCCTTTGGTGATTTATGTTTAAAACACACACATACAATTACAAACACAGACTTACAAACACACACAGACATACATCCTACTAGCTGAAAGTCCCAAATTGATAATGCGATGGGATTTTGGGCACCCTCTCTCTTATCTGTTTTTTTTTTTTTACTTTTGTTCCAGGGGATAAAAGCAAATAGAGAGAGAGTGTTTGTAGATATATCTCAATATAGTGCTCTATGTCTGGTGTACCCGGGTGCAATTTCTGGCTTATATTCAATGTCAAGAGCACTCGAGGGGCTTTTAAGGTAAATAAAGAACTGTTTATTTTTTGGCATAACAGATAAGTTGATGTTCCAATCCACTGAAATAAAAGCAGTTCTTTATTGACTTTAAAAGTTCTGTGAGTGTCCTCCAAATTGCAGCATGTTCTGTGTATATCTTGCCAATCCAACCTTAATTTAAAATGGATTTCATGGGATTTTTACCATTTATTTTACACAACATACCTAACATTAAACTTCCAGTAAAATATAATAAAAACCCTTTACTTCCTGGATTCAACGCTATAAAATGTGGAAATATCCAAGGGGATGCAATGCCCGAGCAAAGCATGTACCTACTATTCCTGTAACATTTTGCAATTGTCTCATTTATTGTTTAATTTCCCCGTTTCATGATATTGTAAAGCGCTGTGGAATAAGTTGACGCTAAATAAATACCAATAATAATAATTATTATTATAGAACCAGACTACCGGTCCCTGGAACTAAACAATCAATTTACCATAAACAGAGGAGTCAATGTGTTTAATGTTCATTTCTATGGCAAAGTGATAGAATCCTGGTT